TTGTTGTTTACGAGAAATTCTCCAGCAGGCACATTCAACTCGGCGGCCCATACTTTACACTACAATAAAGAAAAAGAAGAAAAGGCGATCACCACAAAAAAGGGCGACTTCAAAATTCCCGAAAATTCCAAGTTTTGTATTTGATTTACAGAAAAGTTAAATTATTCGACGAAATTTACTGAAAGTTAATTAAAGTGAAAGCTTAAAACATCAGCAAATTTTTTGCAAACTTCGTAAAATTCATCAAAAATTACCAAAGTTCTGGAAATTTAATCAGATTTGATAAGACGTAACGCAAATTCTCAACAGAACAAATGGTCAACAATTCAAGTTCTTCTTTCACATGGATACAGAATCAAGCAATATTACGAAAACGATTCATTGCTTACGCGCAGTGCACATCTGACGTTTTCACCACCAGCCTATGAGAATTTCCTACACCAAGAGAACAGAGGGGGTGTCATTTTCGGCTCAGAGCAGAGGAGTCACGGCGGCGGATGGCGGCGAGATCAGCACACCGCCACCAGGACCCACCCTTCAGCAGTCTATCAATGGTGACCTGATGATGCGATTCTGTTCTGTGGGTGGCGGTGACGCACAAACACACACTCTCACAGCGCTCAAGCCCACAAACACACACTCACACACACAGACGCACAATGCATGCAGCAGGCGGTCGCCGTGTCAATGAGCGGAATAAACCAAAGGCTGCCGAAGCTATGCGGCCATCGCATTTCCTTTCAAAATTGGGCGCCGTTGGCGGTCGACCAGCAGTCGACAGCGCACCCGGGGGAAAGGAGGGAGAGGGAGGTCCCTAGGGACCTTGGACGGCCACCCTCCCCCCCTCCCGAAAGAGTTGGGAGGGAGCAGGGAGGAGGGGGGGGGGGGGCGATGACCGACACCAGACGTATGTTTGACCACAAAGGCGGGGGGCAGGGGCCCCGGGCGGCCGAGGGGCCAAGCAGTTCCGCCGCCAGGCCCCGCCGACGCCCAAGGCCCGCCAGGCCATGTCCTACCGCAACATTCGTTTTATCATTCCCCGGCAGGGGCCGTACGGCCGCGCTATGGGCAGGGCCTTGCAGTCCGGGCCGGGATACATTGTGGCGTTTGTGAGGGAGAGTAGTATGGGAGGGAGGGAGGACTGTCGGACTTGACTTCGGCGCGACACGGCTCACACGCGAAATTGGGTCGTGGATGATAAGAGAAATGGTTCCCTCTTACTGTATCTGTGTCGATCGGGATTAGTATGGAATCCTCTTCTGGATGCGTCATTCGACGCACATGCTGCTGGCTGTCACATTTCGTGATTAAACTCTGCCACGCACCGCGGAACTACATGATCAACATCTCTACAAAATTTCGTCGTAAATTTACGGTATTTGATAAGAGCAAATTCCAGGGAGTATCCGTACGTTACGTTATTTGTGTCAGACGGTATTACGGCTTCGTACAAAACATGACTGGACGCCTCTTGAGATGGGTAGTCAGGACATCTGTTGTAAAACAACGTGGGGCCTCAGCTCAGTCGCTCACAAATCGCGTGACGGACGGACAATTTTGACCATTCCTCCTGGTATTGCCCATAAATGTCTTGTAAATTATTCGTGTCGAATTTTAGGATGAATCAGTCGCAGTTTTTTTTTACAAATGGTTCGCAGTCAGTATAGGATGAATGATATTCGCGCAATAGTATATGCAAGTTCTTCGAGAACGATTTGTAAATTCGGGAATGTTTCCCAGTTTTGCGAACGGCAGCTATTTACAAGACGGTTAAAAGGGTGAAAGTTTCTGTCAAAATGTACTTTTAACTACGTGATGTAGTTGAGTTTCTGTTTGCACTACATGTTGTGCAAATTGCCAAAAATTAGGTCATTAGAAAAATTGCTCGTTCTTTTGGAACATCCTATGCATGGTTTGTCCGTTACGAGCCAACCAATTAGATTTCGTTTTACAAATAATTCGTAGCACCACAATTGCAAATCATTGATTCGATTGTGTTACGAATAATTCGGTAAACAAACATTTGCCTATATGAGACATCCGTAAAGTCGTGGAATTTTTTTGAAGCAGTAATCACAGTACCAAGTGGTAAGGGTAGGGGTGACCATCGCTGAGGGGAGAAAACATTTCTCGCACTACAGCCCCACACACTACCCTGACGGGCTCCCGCCTCGCGCTCTGCAGAACAACATTCTGTGCGCAGCTCCGAAATGGCAGCCGTTCTCGCAATACAGTCTATCCCATCCCAGCAGACCCCGCCCCATCGCGCCCCGCCCCGCCGCAACCCGCTCGCATAAATCTTGGGTCGTCATGAAGGCGCCCCATACGACATTGTCAGGCTCTAAGTGTAATAAGCTGGCCCCAAGCGCCGCACACTACCCAACAAAAAAAAAATAAAAACACATGAATCATTTTTATCGAACCGTGCGTGCTTCATTCTTGATTTGTTTTTCTTTCGTTCGTATACCCGTTAGCTGTAAGCAACCTGCAACATCCATGACAAAGAAAATCCCTTCAGCTAGCAATGAGTGAAAAGGTTTTATTTTTGGCAAAAGTTGCTACTGTTTTTCTCTTCGTCACTATGTCATTCCATTATCTGATCCTAGTGCGCGCGTAGGTGTACTCTCTCCCGACACCGTGAGGTGCCCCAAACCGGCGCCACGCCCAACGACGCTGCAGTGGTGGGCCTGGCCGGCCAAACCGGCACGCCGCGCAGGCAGGGGTGGAGGGAAGGGGGTAGGGAGGGGCCGTAGCCGGGTCGAGCCGCACCCGAACCGCCGCCTCCATCCCCACCTTGTGCGTTTCCTTCCCTAACCCGGTCCTGGCCGAGTTCGACCGCGTGGCGCCCCGGGGGAGGTAGGCCGCCCGCTAGGCCGGCCCGGGCCGTGGCCAGCCAGGCCTACTGCTACCCCTCTCGGGCTCCTCTTCCCCCACCACACCTCGCCCCTCCTTGGGTCGATGAACAGACCCTTGTAGAGAAGAAGAAGGGTACAGCAAATTAAGAGTGAGAAAAAGAGGGTCGCTTTCGGCAACACTGCAGGGGGAGAACTGCGCGGACTGCAGGAAAAAGCCACGCCCTGAAAATAGGGGAAAAGAAAAAAGAAATTTTGGCTGGCCACGCGCTGCACATGTATACATTTTCAAACGCAAGCCGCGCTGTTTTTTCCTCGTGGCCCTTTTTTTTCATCCCCTATCTCGCTGGGCCGGGGGGGGGGGGGGGGGCAGCGCTGCTGACCGGCTCCGCTTAAACAAATGAGGTCGCGAGGGGACCGGGTCCGGCCGGCCGGGCATATGGGGGATGGGGGAAGGATAATCTCACGATTTGGTGGTTGTTGGGGGCAACAGGTTGGCGAGGGAGAGAGAAAGAGAGCGGCCACGGCCGAAGAGGGAAAGAGAGAGAGAGAAAGCGAATAGGATGGCAGTGGAGGGAGGAGAAAGAGGACGAGAGCCCGGGCCACGCCACGCCACACTCACTCATTCACTCACGCGTGCGTCACGCGGCAACAAGTTGCCAAATTGCAAAGTTGGGGTGATGCGAGCGGGGGAGCAAGCCGGCCCGGGCCAAAGGTGGACGGTCACGCGTGCGTGAGAGAGGGAGAGAGAGAGAGAGAGAGAGAGAGAGAGAGAGAGAGAGAGAGACGGCTAAAACAAACACCGTCACATCAAGTACGGCCAAACCGGGCAAAACTCTTTACCTCCTAAAATAACAATAACAACTTAGACCCGACCTGATCCTTTTCCCCCCAAAATTTCGACTGTCCACAGGACCCTTAGACAGCCTCAATGTGTCCTTTTTTTCGCTCTGCATGGAAATCAACAACTCTATCAACATACAGGGACGTGGCTGTGGCGACGGAAAAAACGCCCGATAAAAAGGGTGGGAGAGGGGGTAGTCGTTCTGAAAGGTATACGAACCCATAAAAAAAACACACCCACCCGCCCACGCGCCCGTCGCGCGCGCGAGAGTTTGAATGATACTCATTTTTATCACCTCGTTTGGGAACAAGAAAGGAGAGGGCGACGTTGTTTTTTTTCGGTCTCGTGAGCGTGTTGTCAAAAAAATCACGGGTGGGAAGAGATTGTGTAAAGTTAGGGGAGGGTTGGGTCGAGGTCCGGGGTGGGCGAAGGATCCCTGGCCTCGCCACCCCCAAACGGACTGGGCTAGGCCGGCGCTGAGAGAGAGAGAGAGAGAGAGAGAGAGAGAGAGAGAGAGAGAGAGGGGGGGCTGGGGTGAGGGGCTCGTAGTAGCGAAGGGAGAGAGAGAGAGATAAAACGGAACATCGATCGGCCGCGTTTTGGAGAGAGAGAGAGAGAGAGGGGGGGCTGGGGTGAGGGGCTCGTAGTAGCGAAGGGAGAGAGAGAGAGATAAAACGGAACATCGATCGGCCGCGTTTTGTGATTGTTTCTGCTTCCTCCGCCGGCCGGCCGGCCGGGCGCGATGCTGGAACGGCACAAAGAAGAAGGAAGAAGAACACCCGAATGTTCTTTCGCGCCGGAAGGGAGCAGCGTAAGAGAAAGAAAGCGATCGGGAAGGGGCGGGGCAGAAGAGCGAGAGAGGGTGGAGGGGAGGGTGGCGCCGAGGCCGGGGGGAGTTGGCGCAAAGTGCACGGGTCGGCAGTGCAGCGGAGGCGCCGGCCCTGCGCCGAGGAGGCTGCAGCGTCCGCGGGCTGGCCCTCCTGCAGCGAGGCTAGCCAGCCGGAAGCGCTCATCCACCAAATCAGGAGAGAGCCACTCGGCCCCTCTGAGGGGTTGGTGCCGCCCGGTCCGGACCCCGGGCCGTGTTGGGGTGCTCCACAGGTTGCCAAATTAGGGGAGCGGTGGCCAGGCAGGCCAGGCCGGAGCAGATAGCTCAGCCCCCACCCCTCAGGCCCGGGCACGAGACCCTCCACCGCCCGAATGTGTAAACACATCAAAGAGCGAACCGCAGCGGGCCCGGGCCCAACCTGCGGGCGGGGCTGAGCTACAGGTGCGCGAGGGGTGCAAGGGGAGCATTCACTCACCAAAACGCCCGCACGCTCTCCTCCATCGGGACTCACACCTTCTCCTGGGAAACAGAAAAAAAAAAGACTGTACATAATTTAACAATATATTGGAAAAATTTCAACACCCAAAAAACTCTTAAGATTCGACACGCCGATGAGTGCCGTGCAACTAGAGCCCAAGCTCACTAATCAAGCACCGGCGTTCAAAAAGACACAGTGCCCCCACAAACACAAAAGCTCCTCGCAAAGTGTGTAATAAATACACATTTAAGTACTTAAACAAAGGGCGGTTTAATACACACACACATATTTACACGTCTTCAATATATACACACACAACATGGGATTACAGCCGACGTACAATTGGAGTACATCGGAGTACAGCCGGAGTACATCAGGTGCAATGTGAACAAAAGTGTAAACAACTGAACACAAAAAGTGATTTCTAGAATCGGATAAATATCCTTATAAAAAAGTTAATATCCTTGAAACAAGCCAATTTCCTGTGACCTGTGCTAGGAAATTTAATTGTTCCCCCAGGAGTCATCAAATTGGATTCACAATCGCGCTCTCTATTTGGATCATATTTGCTCACTCCTTTACTTGCAGTGATTGCAGCAGGTTGTTACGACACCCAGAGCCGGAGATAGAAAGGAAAGGGAAATCAAAATTATAACGTCAAAAGTATTAGCTCAACGACGAATTGTAAAGTGACTTTTGCAGGTAAATGAGGTCTATCATAGTTGCTTATCGATGCTTTTTGTTCGTTTATCAATCTATACAACATTTATAAAATAACGCCTTTCGTTGAATTCTTCAGAATTTTAGAGTACCTCCTGGAGCCACTATGGTCGACATCGTTTCCTTGAAAGTGTATAGTAAGGGCCTCCAGCGAAAACAACCAGACCCCAGCGGCCTCAGTGCAGGGGCTCCCAGCAGCGCAGGCACCCCGAGATCAGATGGATGTGCTCCGCGCCCTGCCCCAGTCACCGCAAACAATACGGCATGGCCACGACCAGGTCCTGGACAGTCCTGCTGCTGCCCAGATCTGGCCTGGTCCCAGACGATCCATCTGATCCGGGAACGGAACGAAACGAAACGCAGGGAGACAGAGAGAGACAATCAAGTACAACTCACGACGACGACGCCAGGCCACGCCACAAAGAAAGGGACTGCGAGGCGGGAAACGTCTCCCCAGACGATCTGTAACATACATTTTCATGGTTCGGTGCCCAGCGGCGGCCAGCAGTCGCTTGGGACGCCACGCAACGCAACGCGGCGAAGGTGCGGATGGCCGACCCATCTTGACCATAACCTTGGCCAACGTGACGCCGCCTGTGACTCGAGCGTGACGAAGACCCTACAGTGCGTGACGCTGTCATATTCCAATGGAGGGACCATAAGAAGAACTAATACAATTAATTTTGCTGTCATTATTACCAGCACAACAACTAGAGAGCTTAGAGGGCCTATTACACCATTTAAATCTTGACCTCCCCCCCCCCCCAACTCTCTCTCTCACACACACACAGGCGACTTTTGGGCTCAGACAGTGCGCACAACGTGCGAAGAAACAGCGGGGCCCGACGTCATTGTCACAAAGACGGAGAGAGAGAGAGAGAGAGAGAGAGAGAGAGAGAGAGGCTCAGCGGGAGAGGGGAGGAAGCAGCGTGTTTGGCTGCCAAAACGCCTGGTCGGCATCCGGTCTCCCTCTACCCCCTCTTCCACTCCCCTCCCCCCTTTCGCCGCCCCGCCATCCTCGCCAATTCCCCCTCTCTCCCCCACCCCCTTCACATGCAGTAGCGCTGTGACGCGGAACAATGCAGCCAACACGTCATACATGCGGTGTAGGGTTGCCAACTGCTGCAGCAAATTTTACAAGACAAAAAAAAAAGAGAGAAAAAACTCCACAT